TGCTACCATCTTTGTGTCATATAAAAATGATTGCAACCACTGGTTGCAACCACCTTTACAACCATTTTGTTTCCTTTATTGGATTGTGACATGGAACACTATTATAAAAATTTTAATTGGAAATCAAAATGTGGAGCAGATCTTGCTGGGCAATTACAAGATTTTCATTGATAACATTTTGCTTTTTGTAATCAATAATAATACTATTATTAATATATAATTACAAGATGTCAAGGCAGCATTGACTGTTGAAAAAGAAACATTTCAAATATGCGATGTTTGATTATCGGAAATTGGCAGGCGTTGAAGCATGCATGCTACCTTGAACACTTTACAGTCATTCTCACATGTTCCTCATGTACATAAGGCTAATCTGGCCTGCTCCCTCTGATGATACAACGAGCAACTGAACTTGAGGGGGAGGGGGCATGGCCCTGGAGTTTACCAAGACATCAATTGTCAATGACATTTTCACTAATCTTCCCAGACCAGATAAGGCTAGCCGAAAAGTTGCCTCAAAGTTGCACGAGTTTACTGAATTTACTATATATGTTTGCCCTAAAATGACAAAATAAAAATTTGAAAAATTTCCCTTATATTGCAGATCTTTTGCCATGCAAATTTTCCAGATGAATGGGAAGAGAATTATCTTTATTATTAAAAAAAATACAAAGAACAGCTAAGTTCATTTATTTTAAATCTAATAAGTAGACTATTGCATTAATCAAAGAGATATGCAATTTGCAAAATATTCTATCAATTATTTAATAGTTTGTGTAGGAGTAATCGAAGTAAGCTTTAAGGACAAGCAAGATCTATGAACAAAATATACTAACGAAGGTTTTATCAATCATTCAATAGTTTATATAAATTTCTCTTTTATTTTAACTAATATTTAATAACATCACTATAATCATTATTGTTGTTGTTTATTGCTCTAATCATCATTTACATAGGAATAAATGTAAAAGAAAAAATTTTAATATATTTATTTAGCACTTGACAATTTTCAAAAATCATGTGACTGTAAAATTTTTATTGTAAACTTTTTCTCAAAATTGGCGGCGTGGCACAGAAAGTTGTGGGACTAAGTGACAAAATTTTGATAATTAATTTAATTGTATTGTATTACGCGTTATTAATCTGTTCAAAATTAAAATTCAAAATTATTTGTATTGCGCTTTACATAATGTCTCCAATTCAACAACGAAAAACTCAACTAAATAAATCAAGTACTGATGATGCTGCAATAGACCACGAAGAATTACAATATCTAAATCTTATACAACGGATAATGAATCATGGAGAAGCTCGTGAAGACCGTACAGGAACTGGAACCAAAAGCATATTTTCACCACCTCAACTGCGTTTCTCTCTAAGGGATAACATTATACCATTATTGACAACTAAACGTGTTTTTACGCGTGCTGTTATTGAAGAACTGTTATGGTTTATTAAAGGTGATACAAATTCTAATCATTTATCCGAGAAAGGTGTTCATATTTGGGATGATAATGGATCCAAAGAATTTCTCGATAAAGTCGGATTAACTGATAGAGAACAAGGAGATTTAGGACCGGTTTATGGATTTCAATGGCGTCATTTTGGTGCTGAATATGTAGATTTTAACACAGATTATACTGGTCAAGGAATTGATCAACTTGCAGACATTATTAATAAAATAAAAAATAATCCAACTGATAGACGTATTATTTTAAGCGCTTGGAATCCAGCTGGTAAAAAAATATTCCAATAAATATATATATTATTATTTAAAAAATATATAATAATCTTTATTTATTTCTTCTTTCATGTTTATATAATAAGATTTAAAGAAAATGGCATTGCCACCATGTCATATGTTCTGTCAATTCTATGTATCCAATCCGGATCCAATCACTCAAAAAAGGTCATTATCTTGTCTCTTATATCAAAGATCTTGTGATATGGGATTAGGTGTGCCATTCAATATTGCTAGTTATTCTATTTTGACTAGGATGGTGGCACACGTTACAGGATTAGAACCAGGAGAATTTATTCATACAATGGGTGATGCGCACATTTATATTGATCATATAGATGCATTGAAAATACAATGTCAACGTGATCCAAGAGAGTTTCCCAAGTTAGAATTTCAACGTAAGATTAATAATATAGATGACTTTAAGTACGAAGATTTTAAAATAATTGGGTATCAACCTCACAAAACTATTAAAATGAAAATGTCTATTTAAAAACGGCGGTGACGAAAAACAATAATTTAATAAAATTTTATTCACTGAATACTTTATTAAATAAAAAATTGATATGAATTACTATTGCCGATTTACATCTTTTTTTTCTTTTTTTTTTTTTTAGACCGCTGATTTTTTGATTTCTACCAAAAAGTGTCAGATATCTCCAAATGTATTGATTAGCAAAAACGTATATATATAAGGTTTTGAAGATTATGAATATCATGCCTCCAAATTTCTAGAGCTTCATCGATTAACAAATTTAATCTTCTGATTCCTTGATATAATTTTTATTAAAATCCAGCGTTTTTTCGCAATACACACTTGTATATTTGCAATTATTTCTTTAAATTCAAGATAATTTTCTCCATTTGACAATTTCTAATTCAAATAAATAAATCGTTTTAAAAATTGTGCTTAAAACCCATTAAAAATTTTTTTTTATTAATACACACATTACACATATACACATATATACATGTGTATAAGTTTATAAATTAACATTTCTATATTCTAATAAAATATCATAATAAATTAAATAAATTAATATAACTTGCAAATACTTTAACTGATTGACCATTCATTAGTCATTTCACTGAAAGTAGTAAATGCATCCTGTTTTAAAATTTAAAAAAAAGTTATTAAATGGAAGTTTTTTTCTAAAAAAGAAAAATTAGTAATAATAAAGTAACAAACTTTTTTACCTTACGTGTACAATCTATATAATTGCTTTCAGTAGTAGATAATGAAACTGTAGAATGAAGTTGTTTTGAATGAAAAGCTGCCAATTTACCAAAATCACTTTGTGATATTACCTATATTATAGATATATGCAATTCATTATATATTTATTTAAATCTATTATTATTATTATTATTTATTATTTAGTACATACCCTATAATCTGTTTTACTTAAAATCCAATTTTCTACTATTGCATTATTTACACCATCTGCATGGTCATAATAATCATGCCCAGGATCAATTGAAAACCCAGAAATTATAACATGATTAAATTTGGAGTATGCTTCTTCTCTTAATTTAATAGAGTCTGTAACTAAATAATATATCACCTTTTTGTTTGGTGGAGCATAAGTTCGTGTAATCTGATCAGCACAACTAAAAAAGTGACTGTAATCTTGTAATGAAAGCGTTTGTTCATAAACATCTCCAGTTCGTATATGAATACCAACAGAAAAAATATTCGGTAGTGCAAATAAAGCTGTATATTGTGTAATGAAAGATAATGCTGGTGGAACTGGTCTAAATAAATAATCTACTATACATCCAAATGCAGTATGTGGTTCTAAGCCAATTTCCTTTAATTTAGACGAATAATATTTTGAGTCAAAGGTTCGTTGTATCAGTCCTTGATTTGTATAAAATTTTATAAATGGGTCCGGATATCTTGTTGTCCAATTGGTATGTGGAAAATAATAATCTAAATCTTGTGAATCGTAATCAATGATATTTATTTCAGTTGTGTCAAGATCTTTAATAGCATAACTTGGATCAAAAGAATCATAACTCCAGTCAATATTTGGAGACTCAAAAATTGCATCAAGTGGAAGTGGAACTTGCCAGTCTGCAAGGAACGCTCTATCTGTAAGTAATGCAAATAAAAACGTGGATGCCATACCAAGAATACTATGTATATTTGAACGAATTAATAAATTTCAATTAATTAATTTATAAAATTATTAAATATATAAATGTATATGTCTAAAAAAGAATTTAATTCTAATCGCTTACCGGTCTGCCAATCCACCACAATTCATTTTAGCATCACATACATATGCTGCATATCTTTGAGCAGCGCTTCCATTTATAATTTCGTTATGTAATTTCGTATAGTCTTCTTGCCATGATCCACAAGAATAATCTAGGCTATCGTCAGTATGATTTTGCAACCTTCGTAATTTGGCAAACTCCTTATTTTGTTCATTTGAAAGTGACTCAAGAATGTCGGTATGTGTGAAATGAGGTCTTGCTACAATATATGTATAGTTAATGTAATCTATTGTAATGTCATCTTCATCAAAAGAAGCTCCGTTTGGATTATATAAATTTGAATTAACATTATATTTAGTTCTTTTCTTTTTTCCAAGTTTGTTGGTTATTTTTTTATGCGTTAATTTTATTTTTGGTTTATCAGAAAACTCAAGATCGTTTTCTTTCATCGTATCTTCGATAATATCATTAGGTGTAGGAATGATATTTTCATTATTATTCGGTTGATCTGTTGGTTTTTTATCAGTTGTAATATTGTTATCATTTTCAACAATTTCATCTTCGTTATCATTGTTATTATTATCATTATTCAGAATGTTATCCTTATTTATAATATTATTGTCGATATTTAAAGGATTTTCTTCATCCTTTTCCTTGACTAAATTAACATTATCCTCTTCTCCATGATAATCACCAACTATAGGGTTAGGATCATTAATAATAATAGAAGTGTCAGTTTCAATGAGCAATTCTTCATCGACAGGGCCTATTCCACATAAACTACACAAAAAAAAGACAACTGCACATAAAAAAATCAAAAAGAAAAAAATATTTTTAAAATCTAATTTAGATGTTGGTGGATTAGTGGTAGATCCATTAAAAGGTTTTCGTTGTTTTCTAAATGAAAAAGGATCGGCTGTTTTATTTTTTGAGGGTGTCGGAGGTGATGTTGTAGTGAAAGGCATCTCGTTAATATCGAGAGGTTGAAGATTTTGAGAAATATGAGAATCGAGTAGTAAGTTTGGTTGAGGAGTGTGTTGTTTTGTGTTGTTGTTATTATCAAAAACACGTTGGTTAGGCAAGAAATTATTATCTGTTGAATTATCGTTACCATTACTACCTGTACTTATGCTCCTAGTACGGCGTAGTGTCCCTTGTCCAGTAGCAGACATTTATTATTATTATTGATTTTGATGTGAATTTAAAATGGTATAAAAATTCTTAATTTCTTTTAATTTTTTCATGTTGTTTGTTTATTTATTATTTTATTATTTATGTAAAACATATTTTCATGCTTCAATAATAGTTTTGCAGACTATTTCTAAATTTGGTTAGCAATTTGTATACGTCAACAAATTCGATTGGTCACTTTGAAAATTTCAAATTCACTTACACAACATTTTTATATTAGTTATTAATTCGGGGATTTTAATAGAGAATGCGGGGCACATTTACTAATTAATATATATATTAATATTATAAAAGTTGATGTGTACCTTTTACTTGCTATTTTTCCTATTTAAATTCTTGTCTATCTGGAGAATCATTACCTCATAACTCTGAGAATAGAATGATCTGTGTTCGTTTGTTTATATAATAAAAAAATAATAACTAGTTATATATATATAGTTAAAAAAAATAATTGACCGTGTTTGTAAAATGTTATACAACATATAAAAATTATTATACTCGATAAAAACAAGCTATGCAAGTAGTCAATATTTGAGAAAGTTTTTTTTTGATATTTTATATGGTAAAGCACTATTTTTTTGTATCGATGTGGTCCACGAACCACAAGATAATAATTTTTTCCATTATTTTTGAAAATAAAAAAAATTTATATTATATAAATTCCATGGGAAATTTTTGATTGACATACATTTTATATGGGGCATGCTTGCAACAAAACCAGACAAATCAATATTATTTATTTAATATCACAATTACATTACCAATGCAATGTGATCAATGATATTTGTCTAGACAAAAATAGTTAATATGAAGGGAACAAAAATGTAAGGTTTGATTACGATTTGTGGATCTTAAATATGTTGTATAAAGAAAAAAAAGCATGCCCAAATAATTTTAAATCAAAATTGAAGCCTGATTGGATTTCGTCATTTCTCATCAATGAATTTATATATGGAGAGGCAGCTGGCCATCCACTTTTACAAGATCAAATAAAAATTGAACAAGATAGAAGAAAGTTAATACAATACTTAAGAAAATGTAATAAATCAGTGAAAAGCAAATTAAATATGTATATGTCTTTAGCTGTTGATGATAACTTGATCAATAAAATAAAGAGTATTCCAAGATTTGGAATGTTGTTACACATTAATTATATTTCAGTAATAGTAAATTTGTTAAACTTGTGCAACTTTGAGACTTAATTCCTCCACAACAACATGAAGATGTAACTCTGTAGAGAAAGGTCTTAACTTCAAAATTACATCTTGTTTTTTTGGTCATGTATTTCCATTTTGGAGGAGTTAAAGGATCTGCAAAGTCAATAAAAGTTGTAGGGACTAGCAGTGTATAAAATTCAATGTGCGGAATGTGCGGGTGTAACGTCATACATTAGTAGTTTTCTGCAGATAGTTTCTAAATTTGTAGAAATCTGCATTAGTTACACACTGAAATTTATACACTGGGGACTAGGTGTCTTTCACTGTAGTACAGCGGCAATTTTAGAATATCATTTCTAATTCAGGAAAAAAATTTCTTAAATAGGGAATGATCCTCTCATAAACTATCATCGCAAACATATTGCCGAGTTGTTACAACATTTATGACGTGAAAGGTTGTAACCCTTGCAAGCTAAATACCGAACGGCCATATGCCGTATTTTGTGCCATATGCCGTATGTGTCATATGTTGTGCCATATGTAAACATAACCATTGTGTGCTGTATGTTATGCTGTAATAATTAACACAAAATTTTATTTTTCAAATAAATATTAATCACATCATCATTTATAGAAAAAACAATCTTATTAATTATCTGTATTATTATCATCATTTCTAAAAAAGTATTTATTAATAATTCAGGATCATAGTCCAAAAGAACTATTTATATTAGTATCATTTTCATTTACTTTATAAAAAAATTAAAATCAATAATGTCTCCAATTATTAAGGTGTTTCTTGTCTGAATTGAATTATCATTTGAATTAACATTATTTAAATAATCATTTTCTGATTCTAAACACATTAAAGTACCAACTGATGAATCATTTGCTACATTTCTTAATTCATTGCTAGTTGATGTTTTTATTTGTTTTTCATTTTTTTATAGGTGAACAAGGAAGTCGGGGAGGAGGACTTTCATAAAAGGTATATACGTTCATTATTCTCTGCATCAGAAGTTACATTGATAATGGTGGTCAAATTTTGTACTTGTTCATTCATTGATAAAATAATGTTCAAACAATGTTTTTTATTATCTGGAGGAGTCATATAGTCTTGGGATATTTTTTATTCTTAAAAAACCGGTTGATGGATTTTTTTGATGTGACCATAAGCTAGGGTTACGGCATTCGGCACATGATATGGCATGACGCACCCTTAAATCAAAAGAAAAAAAAATTTTTGGGTGAAGATCGTCTCTTAATAGTTAACGATCTACGGAAGTGGCAAAATCAGATATTTAAACCGCCGTAACTTTTTAAGTAATAAATATTTTACATCAAACTTTTCATAGAATTATTCTTTGGCATTTACTATATAAAACCATGAAGAGTTTGAGTCCAAAAGTGCACTGTATGTCGATGTGATGGGCTTTAAAAATGCTGAATAAAATTGGTTGGTTTTAGATGACTCGAGCTATAGTAATGATAAAAAGATCAAATTGCCCTTTAATTTAACAAAAAATTTAAAAGTTTAAACGATAGTCAATTTAATTATTTTTATATTATTTTCATATGATAAACTATGTTTTGGGTTTGTTAACTTTTTTCACTACAAGGAAAGAAAGCACATTTCATCAAGCATTTTTTAATTTAAAAAACTCGCACATTCTTTCTCTTTAAAGACATGTATATAAATATTCGAAGGAGGCATCTCCCACAGAAAAGGATTTTTTCAGATATAGTTAATTGTATATTGTTTGAATTTTAAAAAATCACGCACACACACATGTCCAAGACAAATGCTAAAGCATCTTCTTCAAAAACCATCGAAGAAACTTATATTAAATTAACTCCAATTGAACATGTACTAAAGAGACCAGATACTTATGTTGGTTCTGTTGAAGTTATAACTGAAAAACTATGGATATATAATGTCAAAGATGATAAACTAGAATATAAAGAAATTACTTATGTCCCAGCATTTTTCAAAATTTTTGATGAAATTCTTGTTAATGCTGCCGATAATAAGGTATTATTTAACAATTAATTAATGATCATTGTGATTTTTATATTGATTTTTAAAAAATCAAAAAATAATGATATTTCAAAAAATAAAAATAAAATACAGATCAGAGATTCTTCAATGAGTATAATAAAAGTTAAGATTGATAAAGAATTAGGAAAGATTTCTGTATACAATAATGGTAAAGGCATTCCAATAGAAATTCATAAAGAATTAAATGTATATGTACCAGAAATGTTATTTGGTCAGCTTATGACATCATCAAATTATGATGATAATGAGAAGAAAGTTACTGGTGGTAGAAATGGTCTTGGTGCAAAATCTGCAAATATTTTCAGCACCCAATTCACTGTAGAAACAACTGATACAACACAAAAAAGAATATATACACAATTATTTCATAATAATATGACACAAACTGATAAACCAAAGATCATCAGTTATGACGGGAAAGAAGAATACACCATGATATCATTTATTCCTGACTTTGAGAAATTTGGAATGACTGAATTAACTGATGATATCATTGCTTTGTTGAGTAAGCGTGTATTTGATATGGCTGGAACAGTAAAGGATGTTAAAGTCTTTCTTAATTATAAACGTATCCAAGTAAAAAATTTTAAAGAATATGTTCAAATGTATTTGAAATCAGTTAATGCAGCTGGTGCGTCATCAAGAACTATGGTAGTGCATGAACATTTTAATGACCGTTGGGAGGTCAGTGTCACTCCTAGCGTTGAAGGTCAATTCCAACAAGTATATAGATTTTTGTTTATTTATACTTGTATTTATGTTGTTTATTTAAAAAATCTTGTTTAAACTAACATTTTTAATTATTAGGTGAGTTTTGTAAATAGTATTTGTACATCTAAAGGTGGTACTCATGTTAAGCATGTTATCGATCAAATAGTTAATAAACTTACTGAACACATTGAAAAGAAAAATAAGGGTGTTAAAGTTAAGCCATTCCAAATAAAAAATCACATCTGGATATTTATTAATTGTTTAATTGAAAATCCTGCATTTGACTCTCAAACAAAAGAAAACATGACATTAAAACAAAGTTCGTATGGATCAAAATGTATAATTGATGATGATTTTATAAAAAAAGGTAAAATACTTTTTTTTTTGTTTGGCAAAAATCTGATAATAAATAATAATTAGCGTTGTTTTAATAAAGTACATATTAAAAGTGATTAAAACAGGCATTTTAGAAGATATAATGAGTGATCTTAAATCAAAACAAGCTCAAGAATTGAAGAAAACAGACGGAGTAAAAAGAAATTTGTAAGAAATTTCACATGATAATTCATTTTATTTGCATTGGTCAATTTTAATTATTTAATTATTTCTGTTGATCAATAGGATCAATGTTCCCAAATTAGACGATGCGGTTAACGCAGGGACACGGAATGCGCAGCATTGTACGTTGGTGTTAACTGAAGGTGATTCGGCTAAAGCCTTAGCTTTGGCAGGCTTTGATGTTGTTGGTCACAATGAATGGGGCGTTTATCCACTTCGTGGAAAATTATTAAATGTTCGTGATGCATCAATGAAACAAATATCTGAAAATAAAGAGGTCCAGGCAATTAAGAAAATACTTGGTTTACAACATAATAAAGAGTATGATTCACTCGAAGACTTGCGATATGGAAAGCTGATGATAATGACCGATCAGGTAATTTATTATTATTGACCTTATCATTATCATCAATCAATTATTTAAAAATAATTTTATTTTACAACAGGATCACGATGGTAGTCATATTAAGGGTTTGATTATCAATTTTTTTGATCATTTTTATCCATCCCTATTAAAACAACCTGGCTTTCTTAAAGAGTTTATTACGCCTATTGTTAAAGTCAAGGTGAATTATTAAGCCACTATATTTTATTGTTCAATTAAATATGTTATATATATTCATATTTTAGAATAATAAATAGTGCCAAAAAGATAGAACGGTGTTGTCTTTTTTTACAATTCCCGAGTATGAGAAATGGAAGAGTAAAAATGACAATGGTAAAGGCTGGGAAATAAAATATTATAAGGTAACAAATAATATATATATATTTATTTTATCGTTGCTGTGGCAAAAAAAGAAAAAAACAAACATTATTATTATCAAATAATAGGGTCTTGGAACAAGTACATCCGATGAAGCAAAAGAATATTTCAATGATCTCAGTAAACATGTTAAATTATTTAAACCAATGGATAGCGAGGATCATAGACTAATTGAGATGGCGTTTGCTAAAAAGAAAGCCAATGAGCGTAAAGAATGGATTAGAGGCATTGAGGTAAGTAAATTTATTTGTAGAAAATTTGTGCACATGTGTTCAATTTACGAAAAAGAAGCCAATCTAATTATTATATATATATATATTTATAAATAAAAAAATTTTAATAAATAGGAAGGAACATTTATTGATTATACACAAAGTGAAATTAGTATAAAGGATTTTATAAACAAAGAATTATCTTTATTCTCTCTTTCTGATAATATCAGGTCGATCCCTTCTGTAATTGATGGTTTAAAACCTGGTCAACGTAAAGTTTTATTTGGTTGTTTCAAAAGAAATTTGGTTAAAGGTCAAATTAAGGTATTGCGATTAATGATATTTGAATATTAATTGATCTTTCGTTTAACAATCAATCATTTTATTTTTAATGAGTAATAATAACATATTTTATTAATACGCTATAAACACGCGCGCACGCACATATAATAGGTCTCACAATTGTCAGGCTATATTGCAGAGCATTCCGTATATCATCATGGTGAAGCGAGTCTTCATTCTACTATTATTGGACTCGCTCAAGATTTTGTAGGCTCAAATAATATTAATTTACTTGAACCAATAGGACAATTTGGAAAAAGAAATGATGTAAGCTGCTTCCATTTAAAGATTTTATAATTATGATGATAATGATAGTAATAATAATACAATATAATATAATATAGGGTGGTAAAAGTGCTGCTAGTGCTCGTTATATAAACACAAAACTTACACCATTTGCACGTATGATATTCCATCCAGATGATGATATTTTACTTGATTATTTGAATGAAGATGGCCAAAGTATTGAACCGAAATGGTATATTCCAGTCATCCCAATGATTCTTGTAAATGGCGCAGAGGGTATAGGAACAGGTAGGAGTTATGATTTTTGTTAATTACTTGATTAACTAATTATTTATTAATTCTATATATATGTTTTTTGTTGTGTTAAACATACATGTTTTATAGGTTGGAGTACCAATATATTAAATTATAATCCTAGAGATATTATTCAAAATTTAAAGCAAAAGATTAATGGCAAAGAATTAAGCCCAATGCATCCTTGGTACCGTGGGTTTGAAGTAATTTTTTATATATATAGAAAATAATATATGCTATATGTTACTATTGTATTATCGTATTATATAAATATTTATTTATTATTCTTTGATTATTATTTTTAAGGGCGAAATTAAACAAATTGAAAAAAACAAATACTTGTCATATGGTATTGTTACTAAAATTAGTGCAACGCGTGTAATAATTTCAGAATTGCCAGTTCGTAAATGGACCGAATATTACAAATCAAAAGTTCTTACTGATCTTAGAGAAAATGGTTCGATTAAGGTACACACACACACAATCATTAAATTTGGTTATTATAATAATTAATAATTGATTGTTTTTCTTTTCATTAATTTGATATTTAGAATATAGTTAGAAACAATTGTACAAATGAAAAGGTAGATCTTGAGATAGAGTTAACTATTGAACAAATGGAAAGAGCTGAAAATCAAGAAGGACTTGAAAAGATTTTCCAACTAACAAATCCAATGGCAACAACAAATATGATGTGCTTTGATTTAAATAATAGATTAGCTAAATATGATTCACCAGAAGATATATTAAAAGAATTCTATCAAGTAAGATTAAATTTTTATGTAAAAAGAAGGGTAAGCTATACTTTTGAATTTTTTATTTAATCGAATTTTTTATATCAAATTTACCGTAATCATATTAACATACATATTACATACATACATACATATTTATAGTCATATTTAATTAGAAAATTACAACAAAGGATGAATATAATGGATAATAAAATTAGATTTATTAATATGAAACTTGGGGATGAAATTAAATTTGAAGGTTTAAAGAAATCAGAAATCACAAAACTTCTTGAATCACATGATTTTGATAAAATTTATAACGAGGATGATTTATCACAATCACCATCGGTCCCTTCATCATCGTCGTCTTCTTCATCATTATTGCCATCAGATAATACATCAGAAAGTTCAGATGTTGAACTTAATAATGATATTAAAGGATATAATTATTTAATGAAAATGACATGTTGGACTTTTAGTAGAGAAGAGGTAATTAATTAATTGGTAATATTTATATAAGATTCTTTTTTTTTGTTTTATTAATGATGCATATATACATTTATTAAAAAAAAAAATTAGATTGATAAATATAAAGAAAAAAAAGAAAAATTACAAGATGAATTAACTGAAATTTCAAACATGACGGCTACAGATATTTGGATGAAAGATTTAGATGCATTGGAAATTGCATGGGATGAATTTTTAACATCAAGCGCGATAAACAATGACGATAATCATCAACCGCATAATGATAGTAAGGGAAAATCAAGTAAGCGTAGTAGAAAAAGTGCAAAGACATCTAGGAAAAATAAAGGAAAATTTAAAGCTGTACGAGACATTGTCGTTGATGATCGGTTTCCTGAAAAAAATAAAGCATCGATTGAAAAAGGTAAACTTTGATCATTTGCGAATGGAAAATTAGTATTTTCTAATTTTATTTATTATTTTTTATATAGATAAAAGACAACCAAAAAGAAGAAAAATCGCAGATTAATTTCAATAGATAAATAGATGTATACACTAATATTTAACGGCTTTATAACCTTTGTTTCTACATAAGATTGTCCCATGTAAAATATAAATATAAATATTAATCAATGATAAATGTCCCTTTCTCCTCTCCTGAATATATAAAAAAAATTGGAAAATAAATTTTTGATATATATTAAATGAAAATTGATACAAAATAGTTCATTTGAAACATTGAAGCCTCTATATTTATTTAATAATAATTTAATATGGTATTTTTTCAACATTTTTTCAATAACAAGGACTGAATCAATAATTTATCCCATTCTTGAGAAATGATGTGGCTTTAGTTTTACAAATGTATCAAGGTTAATTAATTAACCCAATACTTTCAACATTTCAAACTTGAGAAGGATGAAGAACAAATCACTACATTTTTTTCCTCATATGACAATGTGTCAGTGCAAGTCATGAAAATTTTCTGTGGAGGGTACATTCCTCAAAAGTGGCACAAGAATGACAAATGGAATTGTTCACTGTATTATCAGCATCAATTGTGATAACTCCATCCTTAACTAATTTTTTTACTTCATATCCTCTAACCATATCATTCATAAATACTCTTATTAAGAATTTGATATACAATGAGAATGCAGATGCATTTGATCAAAAAGTTTTCATTCTGATATTTCTAGAATGCTACTTGATTCATTGACAATTAATTCCATAAAAATTGGATCCGAAAATTAAATTGACCTTTACATCTTTTCCAAGTGAAGTTACCATTCTCACAGAGTGAGATTCCATCTATTGTCTAATAATCTTAAATTGTAGATATATCTTACAAAAAACCCTACATGTCTACTGAAAAGCTTGCATTTTCTTTTGATTGATTTGTCAATTAGAATTGCATCTTGACTGTGTCATTTACATAAATCAATAACTATTTCTTCTAAATGATTTGACTTCAAGAAACTATTTCGATCATTTGCAGGTCTGGTCAAAATAAGGTCGAAATTGATTTTTACTAAAGTCAACTTTGGGGTTTTAATTTCGACTTCATGTATAGTATGACCCATGATTCTGTACCATTCTCATTAGCAAGATCAAGTTTTCTTGTACCCGCAAATGAAAATGCTATAATTGTGTGATTTGCTACGTTTTAGGCAGAAATAACAGCGAACTTAGCCAGTTCATTCATATAGATATTTAATGTTTGCGGTGAGAACCGTATTATGTAGGATCTTATCTGTAAAATAAGTTTCCACACACCCGACCAAAAACGAAAGTAAATATGTTTTTACATTAAAAAATCATGAACATGTGTTCTGGGTAGATTACCTAATGGGTAAGCTATTATTACCGATGAATTTTTGAATGTGGGAGAGTGTGTGTTTAGTCGGTATAAATATGGTATGGGATCAGGTGAGTAGGACTAGCAAATAGTTTTGGTTTTGTGGTTAAATAATTAGGGTATTTCTCTCAGTCGAAACTGACTATATTTCTTTATTTAAGAAATATCTGGAATTGTTATAAATAAAATTAATCAAGACTTAATTATTCTGAAATACTGAAATACATGTAGTCGAATTTCTTTTATACATGTTAAAACTTGGACAAAACAAAATTTTACTGATTTAGGAAACACTCTGAAAGAATTAATTCCCTTAATTCGATTCCAGTGAGGATTATATTAATATATAATGATTACTTCGAAGAAGAAAAACAAACTTGGAAGAGAAATAAAAAAGATGCCAACTTTAACAAAGGTATCCAAAACAACCATCATTTGAGTTGCCGTACTTGGTACATTTCATTATTTATAAAATGTCCCGACATCTCATTTTAAAAATTATATTATATGAATTATTAATTATTAAATTATTCTCCTAATTAAATTGATTTATTCCAATATTAAGCTTTTACTTAAGTCACGATCATAGGATTTTGTCTTAAATCAAGTTTTCTATTTTTGCCATTTTTGACTTGATGGAAGTGAATTTGGCATAATAGTTTAATATAAACTCAGTTTACAATCTCTTGCATGTCACTGTGATGCAGCAAAGCATATTAATTTCATATAAGACCATTATTAAATCGTTCAAATGATTGAAAATAACATAAGCAAGGTAAAGTGACTTTTTTATTTATTCGCAAGAGGCCAAAACGAAATAACATTACGACTAAAATTATCATCCGAGAAGAATGATTTGATTCACTAAATCATATCTACAAGAAAAAGTTGTGGCTCTCTCAGTTGTTTTCAAACAATATATAAAAAATCCCTTTATTAAATGTCAAAATCTATTTCGAGCACTCAAGAAATACAATTTGATATGATCGTGAAAAATAATTCGAGGAATTTGAAGGGGAAGAAGCAAATTATGGTGTTGGCAATCTAATTGAATACTTATGACACATATACCTTACTTAATATTCGTCCAGTTCCGATTTTCATTATGGGTATCAATTCAAACTAAGAATCAATTATACACATTAAAGATTTTGCTATATTGTCAGAAAGAAAATTGTGTTGCGTTACCAAATTTCTAGGTAGAATGGTTCCGTTTTTCAACTCGTCTAGGCACAAAAATGCCGTAACTGTCAAAGGTTCAAATAATTAATTAGAATGATATAAACAACAAAATATAACTTTACCATCATATACAAAGAAACTTGACGAAATCGGATCGTTTTTGACAACAATTAAATCATGCACACGATTGTAGCGTAGCCATAATTCTGTATCCTTTCCATGGCATACTGTTCTGACTCGGAATACACGACCTCAAGCTTTCTTCTAAAAATCAAAAAAGCAAAATTCAGCTTTGAAATCAAACTCAAAAGATAATTTCCATTACCTCTTTTCCGAAACCACAATCAAGACTGGTTTGATATCGTAGCGCAAAGGAAAGATAATGAATAAGCATCGCAAGTTGAGCCTAAATTACAGATTACAATATCGAATTAGTTCCTTAGAAATCGCGTCAATACAAACTTCGTGTCTTGATGGAAATTTATAGATTATATAACCTTGATTTTGGCCCAGTCACCAGACTTGCGATTATACCAATACGCTCATTAAAGTTATGATGTACTCAGAATCTGATTATACATTCATTATTGATAAATTCAGATTATATTTGTTGCCATCATTGTACATCACTAAAATGCATCATTAATTTATCATGCATCAACACTATTGCTCATTTAAAATAGGCAACCTATACTGCAGTATAGGTTTACTAGTCGAGTACGTGCACAATACCCGTCCAGATGTTTTTAATATCTGATCGCCTAGACTCGAATCCTTCGAATCATACTAGACTTGCAACTGTGTCGATACCGCATGATATTGAGCCAACCATTCTACCATGGATTGATAAACATTGCTCTTCGTTTAAAACATGGGAAACCTATAGACTTACATGCCAGGTATGTGCACAATACCTGTTGTCATTGACACACGATAGTCTATTGGGTATTACATGTAACCAGATATTTAAAATATCTGTAACGCCTGGGATCCTTTCAAACCACCAGACTTGCAACTATATCAATACACATGGTATGTCGTCTTTTTCGTTGTTGTTGATGTTGTTGATGTTGTTGTTGGTGTTGTTGTTGTTCTTGTTGTTCTTGTTGTTCTTGTTGTTCTTGTTGTTCTTGTTGTTCTTGTTGTTGTTACCGTTTTCTTCTTTTCCGTCGTTGTAGTTTTCTTCTTTCTTCTTCTTTTTCGTTACTTCTTTCTTCGTTGCTGCTTAGCCAAATACTGACGCTCATTTACGACGACAAGATAAAAAAACATCAATATCTGTTGCCCCCTGGCCACCACGATGAGGTGCAGCAACATGGCCAGGTTATCTGTATATAATAAATGCAAAAGGTTCGATTATCAAGAATTTATTATTGTGTGAGAAAATAAGTAAATAAACAAAATAAATGAATATATATATATATATATATGTGATGGAAGTTTTGTCCTTAATAATGACGATATATATATTCCCGCCAAATAATTTATTTATTTTATAATGAATGAATAATACCTTTTATCATTAAATGTTCTTAATATTCTTAATATTCAAAAAATTCCGAAGATATTTTCAAGATAGATAAATAAAAAAAAAGTATAAAGTCAACCAACTGTTATTATTATTATTATTATGTAATAATAATTTGTCATATACACGTCAGAATTTGTAAATTATTTCCATATTTATAGAAAAATAGTCTAATTTTCGTGGTACATATGCAAACAAAGTATTTTTACACATTTACACATAATTCAATGTTACACGAATGTGACTTTGTTTGACATCAGCAAAACGAACTTGGTGGCCGTTACACGGTTTGCGGCTCGTGACGTCCAGTATATTTAGTATTGATTGATTGAATTTTATAGAAGCAATAAAATCAACATGGAAATTTCCGAATTTGATCCATACAAAAATCAAAGGTCACATTCAAATATATTGATTGATATCAGGCAGGCTAATTATATATCAAAGTATTAAAAAGTTTCATACTTAATAAAAAGACTTGGATGCTGACATATATTTTAGGAGGTAAAGGGGTAGCAGAGTATCTTAGGTCGCACATATTGTAAATAATGTGATCATAATAGACTTGGACTTTTTTATATATATGAAATTTATTTATAAAATTCTCATATGCATTCTCATATACATTAATGCTATAATTGATCATTTTTTATCTAATATACATTCCCTTAGACACATTTCATCAAAAAGAGGTTGCCTTTGTTGTGATGGGAGAAGAGAAAAATCATCAAGAGTCCTTGATTTTTGTTCTTTCCCACAATTGGAAGGATGCATTATTCATTTATGGCCTGTCAATTAAATAAGAGTTGGAAAATCTTCATTACATTCAGAACAATAAAGACGTAAATAGCTTGTTTGATCAAGGGATGGGCAATGCCAATCATACCTAGGGATTTTCAAGAGATTATAACATTTAAGGAAGTGTATGGGATTTGTGAAATGACTATCTTTAGCTTTTATGATTGGAGGTAAAAAACAATTATTTAATTGAAGAAATCCACTTCTATTTATGCATCATTTAATATCAATAGAATATTAACATAAGTTACAATGATTTTCGATCCATGACCACAACACAAAGCATTCTGTAGATTCCTATTGATTGGTTTTTTTTGTTGATGTGATTGTTTTTTTGGAAACAATTTTTTACAAGATGACAAAGCATGGTTCTTCTAAGAAGACATGTTAATAATAGAAGTACTTTTTTTTATTTGTATTGAAATATATATATATATATATTATATAATGTGGTGTCTTCATTAATAATAATAATATTATTATAATTACATGATGTCAATGCAAGCACACCATTGAAAAAGAAACAACTCAAGTATGTGACGTTTGATTATCAGAAATTAGCAGATGTTGAAGCATGCACACTATCTTGAACATTACAGTCATTCACACATGTTCCTTATGTACACAAGACTAATCTGACTGAGTCATCCTCAATGATACAATGATGCAACAGAATTCCAGAGGAGGGATGTTTGGTTCTGAAGTTTATCATGACTGCATCAATTGTCAAGGACACTTTCACTAATCTTCACAGCATCAGACCAGAGAAGGCTGCTGGCATGCTAGCCGAAAAGTTGCCTGCAATGATCCTATCTCTAGGTAAAGATGGCTCTGCAACCAAGTTGCAACTCTGGAGGAATATTAAGAGAATCTGCAGCTCATTCAAGCACAATTCAGAGTAGGGTTTGTGACTTGAAATTGCATTTGGGTTCTGATGTTAAGAGGAAAGTTGTAAAATAGTGTTTGTTTTGTATAATCATTTTCATAAATTCTCTGTTTTTTTGATACTAACTAATTTATAATTTGGGCAGGGGACTAATGGGTTTTTGCCCAACCAGTCCCCTATCCTATGGATTAAAATTATCACATGATTATATATATCTTTGTCAGCAACATGGTCAACAAGGAAAAAGTTATAAAATGGTTCAGATTTTAGTATGTTTTGTACAATTTTAAATTAATCATTTTCCCAAATTTTCTGTTTTAATTTTTATTTGACCAACTGAACTTGTTATTTTTTAAATGGGGGCTTTTGCCCATATAACTCACCCTAGGTTAATAAGAGAGTGTAGCTCAATGAGAGCATGTTCTTACAAGTATAAAGGTGGCAGTTCAACTCTGCACACTCTTATTGTGAGAGTCATTATGATCATTGTCATCAAGGAGAAAGCTGTAAAACAAAATGGTTCAGATTTTGTTTGGTATGTTATGTATAAATTAATCGTTTTTCCAAATTCTCTGTTGTTATTTGACCAACTGAACTTGTTATTTAAATGGGACAGGGTTGTTGGTGAGTAGGTATAAGGCAGCAATCCAGGACTCAAAACTCTGAATTCAGGGAAAATCAAAGCAGGACTTCCCAGGTTGATACCTCTGGATTGGAGAATTTTGAATCAGTTGCAGACACCAACTTTGTTCTACAGATTGGATAACACAAAGCAAGCTTCACACAAATGCCAGCTATTATCAGCAATCAATGCTCATATGGCAACAGCCAAGCCTGGTCTGAGAGGAGGATAAGGGAGGTTTTGTCCAAAGCCTTCCAACATGTTCAGGTCAACCTCACCTGTGTGAAAAAAATTCCATGGTACTGATAGAGTGTCCTGCATGTTTGTTACAGGAAATTTTAATTAAATCTGACACCTGTGATCAACATCAGGCTTATTATTCATAAGGAACTACAAGAAAATAATTTATTTTGTGGACCCCAGAGATCTGGGTAGACATTGTTAAAAGTTTCATTTCTGCATGGCCTTGATATTGTTACTACCTGGATGATTAGGGCTGTGGGTGGAAATCAATTGACAGAGTTTTGACATGTTACACATTAATTGTTTATTAGAGTTTCAGCAGAGTTTCGCATTTGGGAGCTTTGTCAATTGTCAGAGTTTGACAAGGTATATATTAATTGCTCATTAGAGTTTTGACAGAGTTTTGACAGTTTCAGCAAGCAACCTTATGGGTGATGCAATTGTTTGTTATGTCAATTATAACATCAAATGTATTGAATAGTAATCATCATGAATAATTGATGGATGGAGGTATTCACATACAAGGAAATGATAAATAGCTAAGTCATGTTTGTTTTATTAAAGGCATATGATTAATTATATTTAAAATATACATAAAAAAATTGAATGGAATCCAAGACTGCACCACTATGTCAATCAAGCCATCAAGCTGTTATGTTTGTGCATGATTTAAAACTCTTTTGTGCTAATTTAAGGCCCCATCTTTTTTTAGAACTATAAAAAAACTGACATTGAATTGTGTAATGAATATTTTGACTTTTAATAAATCTGTAACGATTTTTGGAAAATTTCTGAGATGATCACCATTACTGTTTAAAATAAATAATAAAAAAAAAACAATAAAACCAGTCTAACTAAAGAATGTCCCAAAAAGTAAATCAGAGTTTCACAGGAATGAACTGATTTCTTAAGAATTAAGAATAGGACATGGACAAGGATATGACAAGGATATGACAATGATATGACAATGATATGATATGACAATGACATAGACAATGATAATGGAGTCATCATTAGGATAAAAAAATTTTTTGGGAACAAATTTTTTACATTTGTTGGGTGTTTGATTTAAAAAAAGAATCAAAAGGTCTGATTGAAATTGATTCCTTTGATTCTTTGTAGATCAAATCAAATTGAATAATATTATTGAAACTTTCTTTATGATTAATTAAATAAATGCCTGTTACTTTTTTTTTTTAGTATATAAAGTGTAAACTAATATTGTTACAAATTTTTGTAGAATTTGTTTAGTTTAGAACTGTTGTATGTGAAATTGAAATATTATGGAGTGGAGTGAAATTCTGATTGCTAATTTGAATTTCACATATGTGAATTGCAAATTCACATAATTTCATTTTAACATACAACAACACTAAAAAATTCAGGATTTAATTTAATTTTATCATTATTATTTGTTTGAAAATTTCAAAGAAAAAATACAGCCTTTGATTATCATAATTAAAGCAACATCTGATTTTTTGCTGATAAAGTTCAATAAGTAGTATGACTATTTTAGATATAGAATGAGCTTTTTTATCAAGACAATTTTTATACAAATTATGGTATAACGAATTATGGCATAATTATGGGCATTAGTATTAGTATATTATAAAGCAAAACTGACATTTTTAATTTTTTTGGTGTAACATTTTGATTTTACCAATGCAGATGGATAGATTACTGTAGCAAGTTTTTAATCGCAAATAATTGATTGGTTTAGATTGTTAACTAATTAGTAAAAATTACTTTGTATATCTTGCACGAAAACCAGTCTTGTAAGTGTACTCTTTGATTAAAAAAAAATTTTTTTTGCTCAACGAATAAATTATATTTGTAAATAATTTTTAAATTGTGTATATTAATATACAAAAAAAAAAAATCAAAAAAACTAAACCACTTTTTTTTTGCTCATTTGTGCATGTGCGTATGATAAAAACTTGAATATTGGGTTTAGTATTATTAACCCAATTTGGTAAATCACAATAAATTAATAATACCAAAGTGGTAGAATAAAGTGTTTGCATAATTAAAGCTAATCAAATTTGGTTGATCGTAGCAGCATTTAATTTAATTTCTCGTGTGTATGCTGATTGTAAATCTACTTTATTGTTGATTCAAGTTATAAATACTAGTGCCAAACGACAACAATAAATGTAATTATTATTTTATCATCATCAAAAATGTCATCGATTTTATTCATGATCAGATTGGTAAAAATCTCCACAAAACTAAAGAGTCTCTGGCGAGGCGGTGTTTCAGCTAAATGAGAGAATTCAGTTATTTAGAATTCAAGATATTTTATAATTAAAGGCTGTGTATATATATTCGTTTGTGTGATCTTTTTTTTTTGGTGCCAAAATTAAAGTAGGTTTTTGGCTGCAAGTGTCAATCATTAATGATAATATTTCAATGAATTAATTATATCCTCTCATATTATCTATTAGTTAGTAGTTCACCAAGCAATCAAACTCGACATACACATCAATGGTCTGAAGAATCCTAGCCGTTGGCAATGACATTTTCTTCGAGGCTATGAAGTTATGATGTTGCGAAATAGCCGATTGTCACCTTCCAAAAGGCTTTGTTACTTCTAGGAAATCATCTACTATACTAATTTGAATAATTGTAGTGTATATATACTCACGTGTGGACATGGTTTATCACAATCAAGGAGCCAATCTAAACGTTTGATATCTTGGAATATCTTGAAGTCGAAATCAAAAAAACCGTCAACACACTAAAAGAAAGTATAACGAAAAGATTAAACGAAAATGAGTTTATCAAAAATGTCAAAAATACAGTTGATGATGATCTGGGTACGTTGAATCAGCAATAAATATTAGGACATGCAAAAAAAAATTTTTTGGTTTGTTTTTATTAAATAAATTTGTTTGACATCGTTTATGTTTTATCTTAATCGTATATTTTAAATGTTGACATTCGTTATATTAAAGATACTTTGGTTATATCAAGAGATATGGTCAAGAGAAGAGTTAGGAAGAGAGTTATTCTTCAACCAAGTCGAAAACCAACCCTTTAAATACATTTTCGAGTAGTACGATTTAATTTGTTAGACTATTTCAAAGGTTTGTCCGCATAGTTACTTCCAATTTCTTAAATTCAAACCATTTGTTGACGAAACAACTGTTGGTGAAGTGATTGTTGACAAAACGAATCGAACCAACATTTATTTATTTTTACGTTATCAAATTCACGATTTTGATTGGTCAATCAACAATTGCATGGGTTAAAATTTTGTCACCTGTTTTTATTCCTTCGCTCAAACAAATAATTGTTTTTATGTGTCAATGATTAGTAAACGTTCTGGTCTTGGGGTAATTCTTGTTGTTAGAAAGAAAATATATGGAAAAAATGATTTCATACAATTTAATTAATGAAAAAACACGAATAAAATAATCTATACTAAACTAATACTAAATATTAAGTAATACATACAAAAGTAAGTCATCCCAAATTCACAAAGGACATGTTTCACGATTTTATGTTTGTTTTAAAGAATGAATTACAAGGTCTGATTATGCAATGAAGGAAACTTTGTTAACATTTTGTTTGTTTTCCAATGTTGTAACTAATTTTTTTATTATGCAAACAGGGTCTAATTTTTTTACCAATTATAATCTATATATGTTATAGATTAATATCACATAAAAATCACGAATTTGGTCAGAGGGTCTCAGAAGTTGGTTTTACTAGAAAAGGTCTCATATAAATAGCAGTTTTTTTGTCTAGCAAAGACTAACATTATTATTATCATTATTAATTTTTGGAAAGAAAAGAAATAAGAAAACTATATAATCTGTTATGGAATTATAGTCATTTGCAGCTTTACTATTATGATGTGTCATAACTGGTCTAGCAAAATATCACATTTTAATTTGTAACGTGTGATTGGTCTTTTATTTTTTTCAATTGCACAAAATAATTTTCTATTAAAAAAAATTTTTAAAATGAATTCAATATTTGAAAAATATTTTAATGAAAATGAAAGATTATTAAACACTGAAGATTTTTATGATGTAAAAATATATGTTGGTGCAGAACCAAACATTAAAGAAGTTCATGCACATGCATCTATCATATCAGCTCATTGTTCATTTTTTGGAAATGCATTAAGTGATGCAACAAAAAAAAATGGATATTATATTGTTAAGAATGCCAATATTAGTGAAAAATGTTTCAAGCCTATTCTCAAGTGAGTTTAAATAAATTTATTATTTGTTTATTTATCAAATATTAACATATTTATAATAATGATACTGTTTAATTGTCAAAAGATTTTTATACACATGTAAAATTGAAATTGAAAATTATTCTGGAGCTGAAGTATTAGAACTATTAATTGCAGCAGATGGACTTGGTATCGAATCACTTTATGAGTATATGATGAAATATTTTATTGAAAATTATGAAGATTATATAAAAGAAACTCCAGTTAAAATTCTACAATTGATTTATGCTAATGAAACTTTTAAGGAATTGAAAAATATTTATTTAAAAAAGTTTTGTGATTATAGTGAAAATTTATTTCAGTCAAATGAATTTGAATTGTTGGAAGAACCAATTTTATTGGAAATTCTCAAAAGAGATGATTTTTTTGTTAATGAGATAATTATTTGGGAAAAGATTCTTAAATGGGGATTAGCAAAACATACAGAAATCAACAATATCAATGTTGAAGATTGGTCACCACAAAATTTTGTTGATTTAGGCAACACATTAAAAGAATTCCTTCCTTTAATAAGATTTCAGGATATTTCTAAAGATGATTTTTTTGATAAAATTGAACCATATCAAATGCTTTTTCCTAGAACTTTATGGAAACCTCTTTCACAATATCATATATTTCCTGATAGACAGCATACTATAAATTTATTGCCATCAAGAATCTTAAATTTGAATTCAACACTTGAATCATTGACAATCAATCAAAAACTCATTTTGCTTTTTGCAAGTTGGATTGATAGAAAAAGTCCACCATATACCTCATTTAAGGAAGTCAAATATGAATTCAAACTTCTATATTGTAGTAGTAGAGATGGTTTAGATATTCTTACATTCCATCAAAAATGTAACATCAACAAAACTCTTACAGTTGGAAAAATACAAAATTCAGAGCAAATAGTTGGCGGCTATAATCCACTTAATTGGAATGGATATGGATATAAAAATACAACTGAAAGTTTTATATTTAATATTAATAATAGAAATGATATTAATACTGCACAATTTAGTTATATTAAGGATAATTGCAAGAATGCAGTTTATTGTTGTCTTATTTATTTACCTCGTTTTGGTGCTGGTTTTGATATTTGGTTTCACTCAGATGGTAGTATTACTAGTGTTCCAAAGACTTTTAATAACATCAATATAATAAATGATAGTAAATTTGATGAATTGGAAGTTTTTCAAATAATTGATAAAAATAAAACAAATATAATGCTTTGATTATTAATTTATTACTATTATAATTTCTTTGTGTATTTATTTCATTATTATTAATAACTAAATCTTTCTTTACTGATAATAAACATATAACCAGATTTAATTAAACTTATGATTTCAGGGTATTATTTAAAGTATATCTATATCATGTTCCAGGGTTGTTTAACAATTTAGGATGATCATACAATGTTGAATTTAAAAATTACACACTGACTATATTTCTTGGAGGAAAATATTAGCTTCACAATTATTCTCCTCATCTGAAGACAAGCACTGAAGGGATATAAAGTCACGGCCAAATTCAACGATCCTAAACTGCAAATGAGTTTATACTTACTTAGGTGGGTGAATAAGTTATCTGACTTTCAATAAATTGAAGAATGTCAATGGACTTGGAGAATGCTTCATATTCACATTAAATATTCTTTTTTTTTTTTTTGGAATTAAATAATGAATGAAGATTCATATTTGTCATGTACCAACTTGTTTTAATACAATAAAATTCGATGCGAAATTTTAAGATTAAATATAAAAAATCAAAGATGTACACCACAATAACAATACGTTGTGCAATGTTGGGTAGGCTGCGGATCTTGAAATAAGGTTGTGCAATGGTACCAGTTTTACATCACAATGCAATGTTATAATTTAAGATCCTGATGTAGATAATAAATATAATAATAAAATATATTATTCATGAAGCAGATATTATGAACAAAAATTTTAGATGCAATAATAATAATAATTAGAAATTTTTTATTATAAAAAAAATCAAATACATTCTATTACTATTACTATACTATTATTATTAAAAATCTTATTATTATTATTATACTAGTTGTGTGACATTTCCCTTTCTATATTAATATTAATATGTGAAAATAAATTCGAAATTCGTGTCATGAAGTTTTTTTTAAAATATCTTGTTATTTTTATAATTAACTCGAAATTTGTTGTTAGGGTAAAATGAAAGTACTCCATTAAAGCTTCCTAATGAATACTCTTTCATATCGGAAGGTCTTCTCTACATGAATTCATGGCTATTAAAAAATGGTATTACTTTTTCACCTCAAAGCTCAGATTATTTCTCAATATCGCTTTAAAAGACTTGATATTAAATGAGAAGGTGTAGAATACTTTAAGCTGTATTTTAAAAAGGTGATTTTTGATCATTTTTTATATAGAATTTGTTTAAAGATTGTTGTGTATATATTAATTAGTTAATTAAGAATGGTTGACGAAATTCATATTTTATTACCAAGGACCTTTTGACGAAATTAATGTAAGAAATCAACGAAACCAATCCAGTGCAACATTCAATCTCTATTTCAAGGTTAATTGTTGATTTTTTTGGAAGTTTTTAAAATGATTTAATGTCTTTTTGGTAATTTTATCTATAAAAAGGAATTTGCAGTTTCATGAAGTTTGTTGTGTTGTGATTATACTCTCTATGATCATGATATTATCGTGACGGGAAGGGAAGAGAGAAGTCACCATGGCATGTTGATGTTGATGTTGAGGAGATGTTGAAAATCAAACTTTTGTTAAACTTGATTTTTGGGGAAGGAATTTTCTATTTTTGAGGAATGTTAAATTGCAAATGTTCATTTTTTTTTTGTGTGTGTAAAAATTGACTTGCAGATCAATTTATTTTCTTTCCAAGGTTGTAAAACCTTTCTGCTTTCCATGACACCCGATAATAATAATCTTCCATTTTTTTTTCCTGTTAGTCTTTTAGCTTGTGCTTGATTTTCTCTGCTAACTTCTTCTGTGTTGAGACCAACATGAACTTAATAATAATAATTATTATTTACAAGAATATGAAATAATCAATTTTTTTTTTGTCGTGAAGGCAAAAAATGCATTATTGTCTTTATGTCTATTATACTGAGGTAAAATCATTATATTTTAAAGAACTATTACAACCAATTAATGAAAGAGATGTTAGCAAACAAATTGTTTTTTTTGATCGATTATATCTTAACAAACAATTAACCATTACTTTTTTGGTTAACAAAACTATCGATTTCTTTGATAAATGAAGAACTATTGCTTTTACTGATTAATTGTTGCTTTTTCAATCAATTAACAAAATAAATATTATGTCGATGTTTAAAATACTCATGTTATTGTGGCTTTTAAAAGACAATCCTAACTGTCATTCTTATGCTAAATTGGGAAGGAAGGTGCAATGTTTAATTATATATTAAAAAAAAAAAGGAAAATCTCATCATCTCAACGGACCTTTTAACTTTAACTCTCTAATTATTAACCTTTACTGTTAT